TGGATCTCTTCCAATCAGTCAGCCAGATAGTTGTCTTCCAAATTTCTTGGCAGAGATGAGTGAGTGCCTTCTGTGCTGCCTCACTTTCTTGAAAGGAAGGAATACACAGAGTCACTGTACCAAAAGTAAATGGTTAATGTTCATCCATTTCAAGAGGTACCTTATGATCTAGAGCTAATGATACTGAAAGAGGAAGTCCAAGGTGCATTGAAGGAATTTGCAAAGAACAAGGCACCAGGAGTTGATGGAATACAAATTGAAATACAGGGTAGATAGAGACGGGCAATTTGGGCATTGGGTACATTAAATGAGGGGATGATAAAGGCACATAATGATTACTTACAAGTTTTCAAGAGGACGCTTAGTCTAAGAGTGTACGGGGGAAGGTATAGTCCCCCTGAATAGATTCATCTTGTCTAGATGTGTCTGATGAAAAGAGATGGGTATAAGATTCTTATGATTCAATAGTGTGAAATTGTTATCATGACTAACTGCGATTGTCACAACTCTAAAGGTAGAAGTGTTATAACAAACACCAGGAAGTAGTTAATCTTATAGTACAGAAACAGAGGACCCAAGGACCATCAAGAAAGAAGAGTACAAGCAAAATACGAGACTCTGTTCAGAGAAACAGGGTTACCAGACATGGAGGCAGAGATGAGGACATGGAGAGAGGGAGCAGCTAAGAACTCCAATCTTATGGAAAGACAGGGACAGGGTGCTGGTGTCCAGGAGGACGGATTGCAGTATGTGCCTTTTGGCTGTTTATTAATTATATATTCCTGAGTGTTTCTGTGTATACCCCCCTTCAAAACAAACAAAACAAACAAATAGGAGATGGAATCAATTATTGTTGAATGATGATGCAGAGGAGACTGCAATCATTGCAAAGAATTGATGATGTAATTCTGATATTCACCCATGTAAAGCACCACTCATTACACAACAAAAACTTAAAAAAAAAAAAAATACAATCAAATACTATTTATGAACTGTGTTTTGGAATGACATAGCATCTAAGATGGTATGGGAGGGGATTTAAAAAAGGATGAATGACACATATTTAGTAGGTTATGACAAAACTCTGATGGAAAATAAATGATTCAGAGTAATGGGATGTGTATGGAATTGAAGAGATTTCCAGGATTATTGAGAAGTAGAAACAGATTTGAGTGCTTATCATAGTGAATAAAATATTAAGGAAAGCATAAATTAGAAGTGATATGTACATAAAATAATCTGAAATGGGTGTATGTGCACATATATTTGAGGAAGTTGCTTGAATGCATTTATTTAAGAAATAACATGAAAATATTTTGATTATGCACATGTCTAAAGATTGATAGTATAATAGAAAAAGAAAATTATAAACAAATTACCTGTGTTTACAAACTAGTATGTGGAAAGTAAAAGAAACATAAAGCAAACCAAGGGAAGAACTATTTAAAACAAATCTAGATAGAGAGGATACATTGGAGAGAATAAAAATAGATTGATGGGAAGAGACTAAGGGTGGAAAAGCTAGAGATAGAATACAGGGAGGCACTTTGGTTATGATAATTTAATTGAGAACTGATAATAAAATGATGCCAATTTCAAAGAATGTCTTTTGTTGTTGTTTTCATGTGCTGTTGAGTCAGTTCTGATTGTTAGGCATCCTTGTTGACAACATAATGAAACCCTGCCAGGTCCTTTGCAATTGTTACAATTGCTACGCTTGTGGATCTTTCTCACTGGGGGTTTCCTCTTCTTCACTAACCCTCCACTTTATCAAGCACTGGTAGCGTAGTAGTTACAAATCGGGCTGCTAAC